CACAGAACCAACTCAATCCACATTTCCTCAGAACCAACTCAATCCACAGAACCAACTATATCGCCTTCCATCAACGGTCGCTACAGCCGACCCACTATCCGCATATCCCATCCCTCACGGAGCTCGGCCTCCTTGACGGTGTCACTTGGATGCTCCAAAGAGCCGGCATCTGGCACCTCTGCACAAATCCGCAGCCGACATACGAACAACTCACCCTCGAGTTCCTTAGTTCGTTCAGCTACTTCACTTCCAGCGGCGACCTCAGCCAACACTCCGGCGCCACATGCTTCCGTATGTTCGGCACAAACTATCAACTAAACCAGAACCAGATTGCCGACATCTTACAATTCCCTCGCGGCGACAATGCTCACCGCCGCCTCACCGAACAGTTTCAGCATGAAGCCTTTACGCTCTGGTACCAGTTAACCGGAATCAATGCCGATGGCTGGGATTCTCTGCATGCAACGCATATCCACAACCCGACCATCCGGTATTTCCACCGAGCACTGAGCAACACCATCTTCGCACGGGATAGCAACCATAAAGTGAACTCGAAAGAGCTCTTCTTTCTTCGCTGTGTGTTCAACTCCGAGCCCATCAACGCCGCTCCGTTCCTCCTGGCCCACATACAGGCCAATTGTAACCGTGGCTCTAAGCCATTTTACTTTGGCGGGATTGTTACTTCCATTGCACTCGGGCTGAACCTCGGTGACCGCCTCTAGCATCTCCATGCCATTCCCTCGGTATTCCTCGACACCGACCACTGTAGAGCTTCTCACCTCATCCGTTCCAGGGTCGACGGCAAGTACCACCCGGTCGTGCGTGGCAAAACCGTCAGAAGTATCATCCTGCCATCACGCACCCGGATGCACCCACAGGATCGTGCCAACTGGCTCTTTGACCTCACTGCCCCTGCTGCTGCCGCTGCTCCAACTCAGACCCACACCCAAGGTTCTGGTGACGAAATGCAAGATAAGTTGGACAGAACTGAGCAACCGGAGGCATCGCAACCACTTCCTTCTGAAGGCACATCCTACCGCCGTCGCCGCCATCGTCCAGAGCCCGACTACTCTGAAGAAGACCTCTGTCGATCCCTCGACCAGCAGGCCCAGATACTCGCTATGATGCAGCAGCATAATCAGCGAGCAGAGCAGTTCGAAGCTTGGCATCGGACCCAAATGCAACAACTCCAAACCGGCCAGGACACCATCACTGAGAACTTGGCGAATCTTACCTTACAGTTCGAAGGACTCCGAGACTACGTCTATCATACCGGAGCACTGAACTTTAAGGCCCGAGTCGACCAAGTCAGAGCCAGAGGACGCGACAGAGGACGTGACCGAGGCAGAGGCCGTGATTAGTTATCGTTTTCCTTATTTGTTTACTATATTTTCAGTTTCTTTGTATTTTCATTTACCTTGTATTTCCCTCTCGCATTCTTTCAAATCAGTGGGGACACTGATTGAGATAGTGTGGGAGCGGAGCCTTTATTTCCCATTCCCTCGTACTTTTAATTCCGTAATTTCAATTCGAACATTTTCACGTTTTAGCAAATAAAAGCTCTTTTATATATCTTCTTCCATTACGCAAACATCCCCACTTTATTCGACATAAACAAAAACTTTTTCGTTCGTTCCTCAAAAGCAAAAGCATCACGAGAATGCGCCCAAGTTCAAACCAAGTTTTGAAACTCCGAGACGAAAATTCTAACAAAACCAGTACCGTCCTGACACCTTAGACCTCCAGTTTATGCAAGTCGATTTCACTACCTACGTGTACCAAAGTTTCAAGTTTCTACGCAAACTCATCCCCAAGTAGTTTATACTAGCAGTCAGCACCATCCTAAAACACTTCTAAGCGAGCGACCAATGCAAATAAGTGTATGATCTCCAAAAAGATGAAAAATCATGAAAAGAAAGCCATTTAGCCCAAGTATAGAGACATGTTCCCTCTAAGTTAGGTGCTCCTCACCCGAGCATTTAGCCCAACGGTACAAAAACTCATTGAAAAAATCAATGGTATAAGCTCATGAGCAATGAAAAAGATCAAAATAGAAATGAGATCATATTCACTAACAGGTTGACTTGCCATGAAAGTGTATGGACAACGGGCTTAATGTGATTGCGCTAGAACAAACAGGGTGAACTTGACGCGAGAACCTTGATACCAAGCTACAGTAGCATGACTGGGACCAATTTGCATAAGAAGGAGACCTCCGAAGACTTGTAGTCCAGTGTCGTCACCGTACTCGTTTTGTTCCTACTAAGAATCCCGGTTTTCCCCAACTTTGTGAATGAGGAAGCTGCCTCGTGCTTGCCGACTTTTTCCTGTTTTACTTGAGGACAAGCAAAGATTCAAGCTTAGGGGAGTTTGATAACACGAAATCGTATATATATATTGATGCATAATTCAACTAATGTTTGACTGTTTTCAATCCAATTTCGGGTTCTTTCCATGTATTTGTCTGATATTTTGCAGGTATTTGATGATCATGTCTAAACAAAGCAATATGAAGAAAAGAAGCAATTACAGATGAAATATGGACGAAAACCAGATGAAAACAACATGAAAAACGCAGAATGCATATTTTGCTGCTGTGACGACCGTTACACCTCCATGACGACCGTCACACACCATGACAACCGTCATGCAGGCAAAAACGCACAACTTTAATTGAACGTGCAAAATGCAGTTCCAAGTCCCAAATAATGGACCACTACTCCCTGATATTTCTGCCTCCAAGTCCACCTTCTTCAAATTACAACCGTTAGAATTCTACTTCTATAAAAGGGGAAGGAGTGGAGCTGAGAAAGGGAGCCGCATTCAGACAACGAAGTGCTGCCCAAATTTATTTCCAGAGCAAAATTTAGTTTTATTCTTTCTGTTTTTGTTTCCTTTCCTTATTCCTGTATTCCATTTCGACAATATTCGTTTGTGTGCTCTATTGGTTTGAAGACATAATCCTACCGACATCGTTGGGATTTGGCCAAAAGCCAATTGGATACGTTACAGGTTTTTCATTATTTCGTTAATTGTAACTTTAATTCTCAGTACTATGAATGTTCTAAGTTTCTGTTTTTATTTATGTTTTACCTTTCCCAAATCCATGTCTAGCTAAATCATAGTAATCGATATGTAATAATAATTCAGACGGGATTTGATAATAACCGGTTGAAAACTTTCTTTTTCAAAAGTTATTTATGGTCTGAGTGTTTAAACTTATTTACTGAATAAACGTTCGTCGCGAAAGGGAGAACTTATTTAAAAGTAGTTTTGCCACGACAGTGGGAAATTAATTAAGGTACGAACCAACAAGCGACAGCTGCGGTAAGACCAAATAGTAAACACTAGGCATTTGTTTTAATAACAGCGAAAGCACTTTAAAACGGATTAGAACTTAGAGATTTCCAAAAAGTAGTTTTAACCCCGAACGGGACAGCGAAAGCGTACATTCGGCCCTTAGAATTATGACTAGCGTCAACAACCATCGTGAGACGAAAGTCTTCAGATCACTATTTTCTGCTTAAATAAATTCTGAAAATATTTCATACACCGGTAACTTGTCAAATCCCCGAAGAACATAATTACTGCATATCGATTCACGTAATTATAATTCAAGTAACATTTTTAGTTCCCTTTAGTGACAGAAATTATTCCCTTAAACATTATCTACCTAGCTAAACATAGTAACTCCCGAGAACACTAGTTTGATTACGAGTCCCTGTGGGATCGATATCTTTTATTACTACGCGATAGACTGTGCACCACAGCTTCAAGCATGATTGTGGGTTTACCATGATCACCTCTAGAAAATTGACCTTTCCATGCGACAGGACAATTTTTCCATTCCCAATGCATACAATCAATTGAACCCAACATACCTGGAAAGCTGTGTGCCGCGTTATAACGGCTAGTTTACAATAATTAGTTTTATAACGGCTAGTTTACAACGACTAGTTTTACAACGTCTAGTTTTTTATAACGGGGTTAGTTTTACAACGGCTAGTTTTTTTTATAACGGCTAGTTTTACATAGCTAATTTGAAACATAGATATAAAATTAAAATAACAATCATTTAAAACAAAATTACAATAATATGAAATGCATATTCAAACTTAAACAACAACAACAACAACAACAATAATAATAATAATAATAATAATAATAATAATAATAATAATAATAATAATAATAATAATAATAATAATAATAATAATAATAATAATAATAATAATAATAATAATAATAATACACCAAGCTTCTCTTGAAGTACTTCTCCTTGATACTTTGACAAATTTCTTCATGCTCTCGGCGTTGCTCATCATCCATTGCTGATTTGTCCTTCATGAGAATTTCATACAACACAGGTATGCTCTCTGCCAACTTTGCTTCAACTATATTACCACAGATTGCTAATTTATTTTCTGAGGCCCTTTCCATGCCAGTCAAATCCACTATGGGTGTTTTAGATGAAGATGCTTTTCCCTTGCCCTTCCTTTTTGCCGCCTCTTGTCCTGCTGGGCGGTCGGTTTGAGTTGCACCGTTGTATTTTGAACAATCTATGGGATTTTCTAGATTAGATGACGATGAATATGTCCCGGTAGAGGATATCATTGATCTCTTTGAAGAGTTGTTCATTTATTTCCCCTTCCATTTAGGTTCATCCTTCAACAACCTCCACGCGTGCTCCATTGTGAAACGTTGATGATGCACTTGGACAAAAACTTGGCGTGCCTCTTCCATGATGTCTGTCTCAGACTGTCCACTTTTCTTGTTAGCAACAGCTAGTTTGTAGTTTCCGCAAAACCATTGACAATGTTTATTCAATAGATGCCATCGAGATTTGAGTGTAGACCACTCTCTCTTTATAAGTGGTTGACGATAGTTGTTATAGCCATCTTTGATTCTACCCCAAAAGCTATATGCTTTTTGGTCAACTCCGACTATTGAAACTTTGGAAATGTTAAGCCATGTCTGAATAAGCAATTTATCTTCTTTTTCTAAGAACCTGATATTCTGTTTTTTTTTGTTGAACGTTCTCCTTCTCCCGTAAAAGTAATATTTTCTAGACCATCCTGAGTGGAGTTGCCTGGAACTTGCGAATCTGTAGTGGACCCAATTGGTGATTCTGATTCAACGTTAGGAGACTCTACAACATCGATGGTTGGTGGTGGTTGAAACATAAACGGTCGGGTATATTGAGAATTGTTGCCGGTAGAGAATGGTGGTGATTGAAACATAAAAGGTTGGAGATTTTGAGAACCGTCACCAATAAGGAGAGATGGTCGCGGACACATTTGAAAATTTTGAGAATTGTCACTGGGAGTTTGTAAATAATTATAATAAGGATTCCATTGGTTGGGATCCATTTTATAAATAAATAAGATTGGAAATGGAAAGAAAAAAATTTAGAAGTAAAATTGTGTGTAAAAAAAATTAAAGTTTCTATAGAATTTATAGAAGGTAAAAAATGATAATATGAACGTTACTATTTTCAAATATCAAGCCATTACTTTAATGCTGTTGGAATATTTTATTAATTAAATAAATAATATTATAATATATTTCACATAGTTAACGTTAACTATATAGATAATGGGAACTAAATTTTAGTTCACTTAGATGCCATGTCAGCTCTACTATAATGCAAATTCTTTATTATTAACGTAAGCTATACAAAATTTTGGTTTAACGACCCTGCACTAAAGTTGCTCTAGAGCATCTTTAATGGAAGTAAACTAAATGGGTAAACTCAGATATTTTTTGTGGGCCCAAAGTGTTTTGTAGGATTTAAAAAATTTATAGTTGATTTGAGTAGTTTTTACTTTAATGATGGTTGTCTATAAGAAACCAAAACTTGACCCCACATTTCATATTTTTTATTCATGTTACCATTAATTTAATTATTTTAATTAAAATGCATACAATTTTTTAAATAAAATTTACCTTAAAAACTTAGAAATAATATTAAATATATTTTATTATAAAATTAAAAATGATACAAAATTCACAACAATAATACAGAAAAAAAATTACATTTTCATAGGAGTAAAAAATAATACATGACAATAAGCAACAAATTATATTTTAACAGAATATAAAATAGGACAAACTAACTTTCGTTGTTCTCATGACCAAATCTCTCCCAAATATGTTCCACCAAGTCTGCTTGAAGTTGGCGATGATTTTGCCTTTGATGAACATGTGCTATCCTTTCAAACATTGTTGTCAAGTTGGGAATTGGACCAGTAGATACTTCAGTTGTGGAGAAATTATTATCAAAATGGTCGTAATCAAAATTACCAGCATATGTGTTTCGCTCATCTTTGACAATCATGTTATGCAATATGATACATGCTAACATTATGTGTTTCATTGTATTCACATGCCAAGCACGCGCTGGACCACTAACAATAGCGAATCGGGTTGGAGCACTCCAAATGCCCGTTCAACATCCTTCCGTCCTGATTCTTGTCGTTGGGCAAATAACTTTCTCTTTTCTCCTTGCGGCATAGGGATGGTCTTGACAAATGTTGCCCACTCAGGATAAATGCCATCCGCTAGGTAGTACCCCATATGATATGTTGTTCGATTCACCGAGTATTGTACTGCAGGAGCTTTTCCATTCAAAACATCATTAAACACATCAGACGTGTTTAACACATTAATGTCGTTGTTAGAACCCGCATTTCCAAAATATGCATGCCAAATCCACAAGACTTGAGATGCCACAGCTTCAAGCATGATCGTGGCTTTACCATGATCACCTCTAGAAAATTGACCTTTCCATGCGACAGGACAATTTTTCCATTCCCAATGCATACAATCAATTGAACCAGACATACCTGGAAAGCCGCGTGCCGCGTTATAACGGCTAGTTTACAACGACTAGTTTTATAACGGCTAGTTTACAACGGTTAGTTTTTTATAATGGCTAGTTTTACAACGACAAGTTTTTTTTATAACGGCTAGTTTTACATAGCTAATTTGAAACATAGAAACAAAATTAAAATAACAATCATTTAAAACAAAATTACAATAATATGAAATGCATATTCAAACCTAAACAACAACAACAACAACAACAATAATAATAATAATAATAATAATAATAATAATAATTATTATTATTATTATTATTATTATTATTATTATTATTATAATAATAATAATAATAATAATAATAATAATAATAATACACCTAGCTTCTCTTGAAGTACTTCTCCTTGATACTTTGACAAATTTCTTCATGCTCTCGGCGTTGCTCATCATCCATTGCTGATTTGTCCTTCATGAGAATTTCATACAACACGGCTATGCTCTCTGCCAACTTTGCTTCAGCTATTTTACCATAGATAGCTAATTTATTTTCTGAGGCCCTTTCCATGCTAGTCAAATCCACTATGGATGTTTTAGATGGAGATGCTTCTCACTTGCCCTTCCTTTTTGCCACCTTTTGTCCTGCTGGGCGGTCGGTCTGAGTTGCACTGTTGTATTCTGAACAATCTATGGGATTTTCTGGATTAAATGACGATGAATATGTCCCGGTAGAGGATATCTTTGATCTCTTTGAAGAGTTGTTCATTTCTTGCCCCTTCCATTTAGGTTCATCCTTCAACAACCTCCACGCGTGCTCCATTGTGAAACGTTCATGTTGCACTTGGACAAAAATTTGACGTGCCTCTTCCATGATGTCTGTCTCAGACTGCCCACTTTTCTTGTTAGCAAGAGCTAGTTTGTAGTTTCGGCAAAACCATTGACAATGTTTATTCAATAGATGCCATCGAGATTTGAGTGTAGACCACTCTCTCGCTATAAGTGGTCAACGATAGTTGTTATAGCCTCTTTGCTTCTACCCCAAAACTATCTGCTTTTTGGTCAACTCCGACTATTGAAACTTTGGAAATGTTAAGCCACGTCTAAATAAGCAATTTATCTTCTTCTTCTAAGAACCTGATACGCTGTTTTTTTTGGGTTGAACGTTCTCCTTCTCCCGTAAAAGTAATATTTTCTAGACCATCCTGAGTGGAGTTGTCTGGCACTTGAGAATCTGTAGTGGACCCTGTTAGACTATGGCACGGATCTAGAAGGGGGGGGGGGTGAATAGATCCCAATTAAAATTTGAGCTGGCGCTACCAATTTAAAAATTGGTTTTGAAAATTTGTTTTAAGTGCGAAAGTGGCCGAGGAAAATATAGTCTAAAACGAATGGTTATTGGAAAACCGGATATGCGATAAGCCTTTAGATTAATGACAATATGGAAAAGAGAATCACAACACTAATCACACTTATCAATGATGTAATTCACTTGTTAGGATTCCTAGTTCCAATGATTTAAAGAGCAAACCAAAACTAGATACACAAGTAAGATAATTTTGGTTTAGGCAATTTGTCAAACACTTGGTGTGCCAAACACTCCAAGTGATATTTATGTTGAGTAAGTGATTCCAACTAGCCTTAGTACAATGTCTTATTGTACTTTGGATTCAAAAACAGAGTTTTAACCTCTTACTCAATTGATATCACAGTTTGACAATAGTGCTTATACAAAAATCACTTATTTTTAAGCTAAAACGAAAATGCTGAAAAATAGAGAAGACAAGTATTTAGTGAGGCAGTTCCCCCGTCGTCCTCGCTTCGGGGTACGTCTTCCCTCAATTCTAAAACTAGAATTGAGATAGATTTAATAGATATCACTTGTTGAATGTAACAGTTTATACAAGGATTGAACATCAAATATACAACAAAAATCTCAAGACGTTGAATGTTGATTTCACTCCTTGCCCCTTGATTCAAGATGAATCAAGCATCCAATCGTTGTTGATAGACCTCCGATTCCAGCCACTTTATTGAATAACCCCTAGTTGTTCAAACCTTCGGCTTCGGCTGATCTCAACTGCAACGAATCGAACCCGAGATCTTCCCCTCAATATCACTGAATCCGCTACTAGACTGTTGAAGAACACCTCTTCACAATCACCTTCGCTCAGTTGACCCTTGATGAAGAATCTCGTCCAAAAACCCCCAAAATTCAAACCAATCTTGGAGGATAAAACCCTAACGGTTTTATTCAAGAAAGAACCTGTCACAAGCTTCAACCCGAACTAGATTACCCAATCTAAGCTATGAACCTTATCACCTTTAATCACTCACAATGCACTTCAAAAATGGCTGTGTAATTGATGTGTTGTGAGATGTTGAAGATGAAGATGAAGAATCTTGGACACCTATTTCACTCTTTCTTATTCTTGAACACATGAATCAGTTTTTATCAAATGTTAAAATGACATAAGTGGTTGAACTAGTATATATAGTTCCAGACCAACCAAAGACATAACATCTTTTCAAATAATAGAGGGAATCACTTAAAAACTGCATTTCCGCGCGAACGATCGACCACAGCAGGTATGTGCATCGACGCATAGCATGCACTTTTGGAAATCTGCAAAATGTATCAGTATGCGTCGACCATACAGTCGGCGTGCGCTGACCCGTTGAAGAGTAATTTCTTCATGCGCCGACCCTGCGGTCGACTCAACCCTTCATGCGCTGACCAGTGGAAAAATGCACTAATGCATGCGCCGACCCTATGGTCGACTCATGCCCTGCAAACCTGCAAAAATTGTTATTCTTGTGGTTTTTCATGCCTCTTGTCACGACCACATTTTATCTACACATATTATATTTATTATAACAGGTTTTAGACAAATGTAGAAGGATATGGTAGGTGATACGTTGCATTTGTTTGGTAGAGTTGGAATTTACAATTGCCAATTCATCCATGGTTGTAATTCGTCATCCTCGAAACCTATATCGAGTGATGTCTTGCAGACTCATGTGATGTGTGGCGATTTGCCTTCACATTCTCCCCCTTTTTGATGATGACAACCTGTATACAACCAAGACAACCAAAAACACAACAATATGCAATGTATACACAAGCTCCCCCTTTCTTTTGTAATTTGAGGCTGCAAAACAAATAACCATCAACTGTTGTGAACATCCTGGCTTGGCTTTGGTGTGCTTGCTACATGTTCTTCTCCCCCTTTGACAACATCAAAAAGAGAAAGAGAACTCGTCAATTAACAAAAAACAGACAGTAGGTGATAGCTAGTCAATTACCAAACTTCACACATAAGAGTGATAATGAACAAAAACTGGAATTAATAGATAATGAAGTGAATACATACAAATGGGCAAAATATTCAGTCAAACATAACATGAAATAACAGAAAATACACAGTGAAAAAACATGCAACTATGTAACTAATATCCCCGGCCCCGACCTCAGCCCCTCCCCCAGTATGCAATTCTAGGTTGCGGTGAGGATTCGAGAAGTCCACAAACGCTTCCACGGACATGTTGAGGTGATGGAGACTGTCGGTGATTTCCATGTCTTGCCTTTCATTGGATGCAACAAGAGCTTCAAAGCGGGCATCCATCCTAGTTGAAAATGAGTTTAACCTTTCATTTTGAGTATGAAGCTCAGCTTTGATCTGTTCCATTCACGTATCTTGACTCCTCATGAAGGTCTGTTGATCTAACTGCATGGACTGCAACATATTAAGTATTTCAGAGTTGTCCGATGGTGGAGGAGGTGATGAGTGCTGAGAAGGTTGATGATCTTGAGGGTAGCCGTGGTATGGATCATAGAATCTACCCAAGGTGGTCCAGCCTGTGTACTGCCACTCACCCCATCCCTGATTTGTGTAACCTTCTTCCTGTTCTTCAGATGGAGCTGAGTGCTGGACCCAATCAGTATTTGGAATCTCATGTTGAACCGGCGATTGATAATAGTCTTGCGTCTCACATACGGGTTCTTGTACCTCTTCCGCTGCATTTTCTTCATCATCTTCCTATTCATCTTGTTCTTCGCTTTCTTGTTCAGAACTGTCATCAGATTCATGAGTCACCCGAGGAATGTTTACTCGACGGACAAACTTGTAAGTTTGTCATTCATCACACCAGAAATATCCCATCATGGCGAAGGTTTTGGTACTGAATTCTTTGTCAGAGGATACTGAAACACAAGGAAATTATGGGTATACAACATTTGTTGCAGCGAGAACCTCCGAAATAAACGACCCATAAGCTAGAGCAGTGCCTCGACCTGAATCTCTCAGAGAAAAAATCTTGCTTACAATATAATATGGCCAGTTTATTTTGATCTTATGTTTCAAATATAGATGAGATGTACCTCAGCTTGTTCAACTCGGGACAGGCCACCTTTTTTCGGTCGCAGGATGCGAGCGACAATCCACTGAAGGATGCGCTCCCCTGTTTGGAGTTTGCCTGCCGTAACCGTTCTAGGAAAGGCATCACTATTGACAATAGCATCTGAATAGGGCCTTTTGAGCATGTCATTCAGAGCACTCTTAAACTCGTATCCTGGCACCATGCGAGAGTCTGTTACCTCATGAAGAGGTGGTGCATCAGCAGCTACAGTCAAATCAAAATACTTATTCCAGACTTCAGAATTTACGTTTACCAGTTTATTGCCGACAGAGGTGTGGAAATATTGACTTTGAAAGTTGTCACGCAGACTCGTGTAGAACACCCAGACTAAATCTTCACTGTATTTTGTGTTGCACTCCAGAAAGTTGAAAAAACCCTGAAACTCCAGCAGAGACATAATTTGGGTGAGATGCATGCGCTCCGTCGTTGCCTTGTAAAATGCATGTTGCGGAACGACTGCTCTTTTGTTGATATTCTTGTTGAAGTTTTCAACCGCAGGTGGGGGAACTAGTGAGACAGCGGTAACGGGTACTGAAGCGGAGGATGAGGCCCTTGATCTCTTTCCGGTATTTTTGCGAACGAGAGAAGCCATTGATGATGATTTTTGGAGATTTTATAGATGTTAACTGCAGTGCCTTTGGAGAGAGTAGTTGGAGATGAGTTTGGAGAAGATGAGCATTATCCATTTTTATACAGGAAGGTTTAGGGTTTTGGTAAGTGGGAGGAGACAAGGGGATACAATAGGTGTCTAGATGCAAGTTACAAGAAAATGCACTTTCAAATCATAGTAAATGTTTACTGCACATTTAATGGAGAAGTGAAGAGATGGAACGGTTTTCAAAAGCAAAAAAAATTCTGGGTTTTTGCGCGAGCTGTCGACCATAACCCCTGCATGCGTCGACGCATACTGTGTGATTTTTGATAATTTTGAAAGTATACATCATGCGTTGACCGCTGCCCTGTTTTGGTCGACTCATAGTAATCAAAAACTCATTTTTTCATTTTATGTCATGTAGAATGCCACACTTGATGCCTATTTACACTTTCATAATATAATTTGCATCCAAAACACATAGTATTTGCAGCAAATGTCATATATATAAATACCATGATAGTCAAACGATATACTAGTCTAAGTCATGAATGTTTAGAGAGAGAGAGAGAAGGAGTAATATCACCTCTATACCGACAACAATTGATAACAACATACTTGTGCTTGCAACAAAACTCAACTTGTTAGAAGTACAAGAGTAGTTGTAAACAAATTTACACGAAACTAGCAATCATTAAACCCGATCAGAAATGTCGAGAATGCCAAGTTCTCGAAGGATATGAAAGAAAGGTTCAGTGGCTAGCGGCTTTGTGAAAATGTCCGCTAGTTGATTTTTGGTGTCAACGTGTTCA